TATGAGTGTAAAATCATTGCCACTCCGTCAGCGCCTGTCTCTAGGCCATTACCAGCCTTCTACTGAGACAACCCAACACAGTATACATATGTCCCACCCCTTAATAGAAAGCTTTCCTCATTGGCTACACGGACATGTCAATCTTTCGGCCAGGAAGTAGTTGCAAACCAGTCTAATGACAACAAATGTGAAGTGACCCCATGTGCAAAACGCAGCCGCTTGTCCAACTCACGGGAGATTTTGCGGACCCAAAATAGTACAGATTCATGGAATGTGTCATTTGAAAGATAAGGAGTAGCTGAACACATGGATACCAGATGTTTGGGTGAAAAACAAAGCCAAAAGTCAGTTTACAGTGAAAGAACAGCCTCTGTGCTCTTTGTTTTTTTCGCTACAGATAAATGCACATTTTTGGATTATTTCTCCAGAATGGATTATACTTTGGGAAATACAAGTGGATATTATTGTTAAATGGACTGTTCCAGAGAGAAAGAGCCATAGGAAGCCAGGAGGAGAGCTGATTTATTTATGCAGCACAAGCCCAAAAGGTAAAAAACTTTTTCCTTAGCGACTTATTTTGTGCCCACATTATGTGTTATATCTTTTGAATGCAAAGTCTTATGTAGTTTACACTTGTAAATGTAGATAAGAAATTAAGCTTTAAAATGATATACAGCTTTTGGGGTTTGGTGTTCAAAATACATATGCTATTGCCAGCAGAACATTCTAAAAATAAAAACGGCTCGCCGGTGGATGTAAAAGCTTAAAGCTTAACGTTAAAGCTCGGGTCTGTAACTTTAGTCTCATAAATAACGTGTGTGTGTGCGCATCAGCCAAAAACACTTCTAAGCATCATATTTAGATTGCTCCATCAAATACCTTAATTTTGATATGTAGTTTGAAAAAATTGTTTTCCGGATTTCCTGTTGGCAGCCATATTGGAATCTGGGTCGGCCAAATTGTAAAATTAATATCGAAATCAGTATCCCTGAATTGTTTCCTTCTTTACTGTGAATTTTAATGTTGATAGTTAGATGAATAAAGGCTTGAAATGGCTGAATAGAAGGTTCTACAGTATCCCTTTGTTTTAAGTCAAATTAATTTCACTATATAGCAGCTATAAGCGCTTATCAATATGGTAATAAAATCACAACCACTTATCTGATTTTCATAATTCAAAAACTTTTATTCCTCTTGCTGAGCTGGAAAATACTGTGCTAAATTAAATCTGATTTGGTAATTTAAAAAAATGTAATCTTGCATTGCTAGTTAAAGAAGTCTACCTTTGTGTTAAAGCAAAATTTAAATTTCTTTCTGATACATTCTTCAGCAATGCCCTGGTGCGTAGAATGAGCACTGGCATTTTCACCACAATTGCCTCTATATGCCTGTAAACTTGCCTTTATATGCCTGAAATTTGGGTGTTTGGGTTGGACACGTGACGTCATGCGCGTTCGCGCTTAGCTGCAGCAGCACTAGCTTTATCTGTCAATTAGGGCTGGGCAATAAATCGAATTTAGGCAATTAATCGGCGTTTGGAAAATATCGAATTTGTGAAAAATGAAAATCGTGAAATCGAATGAAGGATATTGCTTATTGTTTATAAAACGTATGGGGGAAACAAATTAAAAATAATGTTAAACTTGAATATATTTTTAAGGGCAAACTTAAATGAAAATGGATTTAAAATCGAAATCGTCTTAAGCAGAAAATAAAAGATTTTACTTTCTTGTCATATCGCCCAGCCCTACTGTCAATACTAAAGCTGCAGAGCAAGAGGTGGATTTGGAAGAATGGATACAGTGGAGAATAACAAGAGACCGGCTTCAGGCAGCACTGAAACTCCAGCCCAGACCCAAACTAAAGTAAAGTGCTTGAAAGGTAAGGCGGTTGTTTCTAAATACGTGTGGGAAAAAGTAGTATGCTTTCAACGCAGCTCTGTCCGGACATCCCAAGGCTGCGTAGCAAAATGTCATTTCTTTTGTCAGTATCTGAGTTTTGCGGTGTTTTAATTGTGGAAAACTCACAGAACGAGGCATAGATGTCTCATGTTCCAAAATACCAGCTGTAATAAACCCCAGCAAGATCTCTGCGGTAGCACTAACACAACAGCTAGCGTTAGCTGGATATGCTAATGGCGCAGCGGTTTGTTAACGGAGCTTTTTAGAAACAACTAAAACGCCTACAGCTTCAGCAAAGGTCTCATTTAGCCAAGGAGAGGATTACGAATATGCCCAGTGTTTAGGAAATAATGTGAAAACAGTGTAAATTACGCATTATTCTCAATGTATTTCAATGTGTACATGCTTTGCACCTGTTTAACAGAGCAAGTACTAAAATGGTATGTGTGAAGTTACATTCTTTTGAACACCTTTTGTTTATATAGTTTGAAACAGCCAGCCAAAACTGAAACATGGGATGCAAGAAGGAAGATGACCAGATGGACTCTCCAGGTAATGCACAAAGCTCTTGGTAGGGCTGGGCGATTAATCGATTTTAATCATTAATTCGAGTTTTACGTTTAGGGCAATTTCTTTTTTTAAAAATTCAATTTTTATTTTCTCCAGCGCAGAACTACAGCGCTAACGCGCTAACCGCGGGTCTATGGTGTTGAGCAGTCATTTTGAAGCAAACCTAATGCTAACAGTCTCCCTCTGGCCTGATGCTCGCTCTCACAGTTGGTGCTGTTGCAATAACACTTCAAACGTTCAAGAATCAGACTTTATTTAATCGCCAAAACACACACACACACACGCACGCAGGCTCCGGTCGCTATGTTTGTACGCCATGTTCGTACGCCACATCTTTCACGCTCTCTCACGCTCGTTATTCCAAAGCGCACTCCCGTGTCCGTGGCGCGCACACACTCGTGTCCCACTGAGCCGCTGCACTTTGGGGAAAGACACGTCTCACACATTGCTCTCATTGCTCTGATACAAACAACGTGTTCCCCGCTGTCTGTTAGCTACAGTAGCTGCTACAGTAGCTGTTAGCTACAGCATCCGAATGTAAACAGGAAGCTCGCACAATGCGGGAGTCACTGAAGTTAGTATTAGCGCCACCAGCTGGACCGAGCGTTGTACTACAGCACAGTTACTCAGGCACAGTTGAAAGAACAAGCATGAAAACCCGAGGAGGCTTTTGGAAAAGACTGTTACAACATTTCTATTTTGAGTAATCAGTTTTAAAAATGTGATATTTCATGTAAATAATGCATGTGTTTAATAGGATTGATATATTTGCGATGGGCCTTGTTTGTGTGATTTAAGTTATTTTGAAGGTGCATAGTGTCATTGTAAGTGAAGTTATTATAAAACTGTTAAGCTACATTTTCACTGTTTACAATGGCAGAGCCATCTCGTTTACAAGCATGTTTTAAGGCTTAATTCCTGTTACACTTATGCTCCATGGGGATTTAGATTAAACTTCATAAAGGAAAATCTATTTGTCAGTTGTAGTTTGTTTTCAAATAGAAAAAAATAAATCGATTAAAATCGAAAATCGGATTTGGTGTGAAAAAATCGGAGATTTTTTTTTTTTGCCATATCGCCCAGCCCTAGCTCTTGGACATCATTATAAATTTACTGGACTGTTTGTTTTTCATTATTTTCCCATTATCTATATCTTTTTTTTTCCAAAGAGATCACTCCACTATGTGCTGTACATAAACAACTATGGAGCTAGACACCATGGACATCAGTGTTGTCAATGTGGACCAAGAATGGGTTGACAGTAAAAGTGGTGTCATGGAGAAGGCAGTTTATCGAAACCTTTGACAAACTCAGAGGTACAAGCAAAGATTGTAACCGATGCTCATGTACACATGGCTGCCCTTATGCCTAAGGATTATTATGAGTTTTTAATTTGAATTACAGTTTACAAGATTATTTTGTAGTATTCTGAAAAGATCCAGAAAAGGGGCAGATATCAGAGTTTTATCCATTCACTCGATGTCTGGCATGCCTCAAAAAAGAAGACACTTTGTGCTGTATGTCGAATTATGTTATATTGTATTAGAACCCAGGTCTGGTAAGACTTTTTTTTTTTTAAATAAGTTTGGTGTCTTTCAACAGGCTGGAATGGTTTCTGGTCAAAAGCCTATACTTGTATGGCTCAAGGACATCATTAACCATTTTTGTTATGCTTGTCAACACACAAGCACCAGAGGAGTTTATGGTTGGTATGAACATTACACATTTATAGAGTCACCTGATAATGTCATTTTTTCTCTTTGTGTGGTGACACGGTATGACCTTTTTCACACATGCTGTAAATTCATGTGTTCTAAATTCATGTGACAACTTCAAAGCTCAAATCTTTACAAAACGACATCCTTATGAATTCAGGGAAGAGCTTTGGGTTTACTTATGGCGTTTATGAAGCTTGTACACTCCTCGCTGCCGTAGACAATAACACCATAACATCGACCAGTGCATACTGTATTTTGATAATAAAAATATATTATTTGTACTGATGTCTACAGTAATGATTTGTAGACATGAACGAGTCTACAACAAAAAGTCTCAGCGTTACAGTGTGTACTGTGAAGGAGACTAAAGACCACAGCTCTATCCCAGACCAGCGCCTCAGCTCTGCTGGGGGACTCTCAAAAAATGGAAGCAGATGACCCCTGGGCCCTGGGTCCTCCGTCTGGCATCATCCCTCCTCCTACAGCTGAACTGGAGCAGACAACAGAGGACAGGTAGTGATGATAATCAAATGGGAAAAAAGTCTCAATGATATATAAAATATTTTTCTTTCTTTTTCTAGGACTTGACATCTGGTCCCTGAAAAGAGGCTGACAGCAATCAAAGATGGACACAGAACATTTATTTATATAAATGTCAAATATACATATACACATTTTTTTCAAACATTGAAACAAAAGTAAGACTTATTTCTAAAGTGGTGATGGTTGCATTTTAGTTTTAGATTTCCCCACTGTGGGATGAATAAAGGGGGGTTCCTTATAACCAACAGGTCCTGCACTTCTCACTAGCCTGGCCTCTCCTCTTGCTGCTGCTCTTCCTCCTCTTCTTGCTACTCCTCTTCCTCCTCTCCCCCATTCAAAGTCACTGCTCTCAGAAACTGCAGATTCAACTGGACAGGAGTCCTAGAAGGAAAAGCAAAAAGATTTAGATGTCACCATTCTGGAATGTATGTTTTGTACAAACTTCACTGATGTAAGCCAAACAAAAACAAAAATAATTTATCAGAACAGCTGATCTTAGTTTTATACCCACAGACAACTTGTGTAGTATTAGTAGCAGACAATAGTGTCAGTAAAAACAGTAATTGTGCTATACCAACAAAACGGTAACATGGTAATGGTGTATTTTCTATGGGAATAATAATGTTGCTAATGTTAGCTTGTCTTGACTACAAAATAAGAGTGACTTCACGGTTTTATGTTTATGAGTAGTAAATATACTGCAAAAAGCTACATATAGCTGCACTAACTGACTTTATTTTTGTATTCATTACGAAAATGCTATCCATGTCCATGTAGTGCATTGGGATATACGTCCTTTTGAAGAAAAAGTAGCGCAAGTTTGTGCTGGCGTGACATATTTTAGATCGAGTTTTGATGAAACAAGGAAGAGAATGTGTTTCGGGTCTCAGTTTGTGACCAATCACAGCGGACCACTAGCCCTCACTTTCTTGAGAAATCTACAGGTCCCTCTTAGCACAGACAGCTGAGTTAGCACAACAAGCGGCGGAGCTAACCTGAAGCCTCCTTGTCTTTGTCACCGGTTACTGCTTACACCGCGAAACAGCCATCCAAAAGAAAGTCCCATTCCTCCGCGCTTCCCGGTTCGATCATTCTATGGCAGGCATGTCAAAGTCAAATACATCAGAGGGCCAAAAAAAAAATGTTTGCTACGCGCCGAGGGCCGGACTGGTTCAATGTTTCTCAACATCCAGAGGCAGTGCCTGTGACACCTGCTGGCTCGATAAAATATGCTCTAAAGCCAATCCTCATACTGTACACATTAGATGTAATAGACATCTGAGAACATGAAAATAGTAACAAAAAAAAAAAAAAGCTCAAACTTGGTGAAATGTAAAAGAGCAGTCTGGACCTCTTTTTGGGGCGTTTTTTGATTAAATCTGCAGAATGGATTATACTTTGGGAAATACAAGTGGATATTCTTCTTCAATGAACAGTTACGGAGAGAAAGACTAAGCAAGGATGGGGAAAGTAATTTGTTGGAGCAGCAGAAGACGAAAGGTAAAAAACGAATACAGACGTGATTTATTTTGTGCCCATATTATGCGTTATATCTTTTTAATGCAAAGTCTTTTTGTTTATTGTTTACACTTGCATATAAATATAGCTGAGAAAATAAGCTTTAAAATGATATATAGCTTGTGGCTTATGAAGTTCGAAATACATCTGCTATTGCCAGCAGATGTATTTTTATCCTCGTTTGCTCCCGCCGACGGGGGCTAGCGAGCTTAAGGGGTCAATACATTGCCTCAATGGCAGGCAATGTCCCGGGGGCCATAGATAATTCATAGAACACATGAGTTTGACACATGTGTTCTATGGTCATGCCATCCACGCTCAAATGTACCATACATGATTCTTTCCATATTGGGAGACGCTAGCTCTGTAAACAACAGTGGGTGTGCGGTAGTGGGGGGGCGATAGCCGTGGGTGCGGGGAGGGGAGGAGAAAGAGCGAGACCAGAGAGTCCGCTGCTTCAAAATCTCAAAGTCAGTTAGTGCAGCTTAAGGCCCAATAAATAGAGAGATTTTGGCTTTAAATTAGAAGCATTTCTACCTTTGGAATTGTATTATTACAGTTTGAATGTATAAACATAAGCCTAAGTATATAAGTGTTTTTGTTACTCTTTCAAACGTCGTTCATGTGTGTGTTTTATAATTTGGCTTCAGGCTTTTGATATTCACTTTGCTCTACATTTGCACATCTTGGAATATATACACATCTTGGAATATATACACAATGATTTGGTCTAAATATCATACCAATCAGTAACATGTCTTACCTCTATTGAAGTCATCCCTGCAAATCCTGAAATTGTTGAGACAGGACCATATCTGCTGTTGTTTCTGTTATGTTCCTTGTGCACGCGCTTCTCATTGAGGCTGCAGTTACACGTCTGGCCAGAGGGGGCTTCGCGAGCACAAAAATTGCAAACTCCATATAGCCGCTTTAATGAAAGGGAATAGCCATTTTACAAAATTGTACCACGAGTTCAATATCGAAAATCGTATGGTACTGTGAGATCCCTACTTGCAGTGCACTTCTAGCACATAAAGCAAAACATGTTCAAGAATTCCTTTAAAGCCAAAAGTCTATAATGCGATTAGAGCAGGGCTCATGTGACGCTGCTCTTACACTGAAGTAGAGATGTTTTCATGAGCAAACAGGTTTACAGCTTTTAGATGTGGTTTTAAAAAGTTTAGAAGAATAATGCAGAATTCAAAGCATGTTAGAACTACAGTTAGCAGCTGCACCTTGCAACAAGAATTGCTTTATCAAAATTGTGTTAGAATATTCATGGACTTACTTAATCATGTACTGAGATTATTTGAGAAAAATGTAGGTTTAGTCCTGGTTTAGCTTCTGTTTTGGCTGTTTACAAGTATTTTCAGTCCGCTCGCTCAGACCGCTACTGACCCAGTGACCACCTTGCGGCTCAGATTGGTTTCTGCACGAGTGGCCGGCAAAAAAAGTCCATCTCCATCGTGTATGTGAGTGTATTAGTATGAGTGTGAATGTGCGAGTATAAAGCTGCGTTCAGACCACGAATGCATGAATGTGCGTCAATAAACACATGGACGCGCATTCACTGAACTTCAGCCGCATAAGTTCAGAAAATCAGCCGTACTGCCCTGCGATGCCGCAAAGCGCAGGACGGAGGTGGGCGGGCTTTGATGTTAACGAGTTTAAGCTAGCGGCTTTTAGTATGAATTTTTCCTGCAGAGTGCAGAGTTTTCGTGTCCTGGGACTCTCCAGAGACATATTACAGAAGTATGCTCACAAAGCTGTGCCATGTACAGTGCCTTGCGAAAGTATTCGGCACCCTTGAACCTTTCAACATTTCAGGCTTCAAACAAAGATAAAATTTAAATTTTTTGTCATGAATCAACAACAAGTGGGACACAATCGTGAAGTGGAACAAAATTTATTGGATAATTTAAACTAGGGATGTAAATAACTATGAATTTTCATGACCGACCACCGAGCCTCATTAACCGGTTGTAACCGGTTAACCGCGTTGTTAAAAATATTCCACGTTCTTTGAAATAACAGCCATTTCGAGCCGCATACTTTTCATAAGTGCAGCTCTGCGTTCTACTTGATCAGAGCGGAGACAGCGGCGCCAAAACCCGCAACAGCTTTGGTACCTTTACGCACAGAGACCTGCTTTTTTAATCTTTCCATACTTCTGTGCTGCTGGTTAACAGTTTTTAGCAGCAAACAACGGCTCGTTCACATGGTCAGAGCAGCGAGTGACGAGCCGCATCTCGCAGATCTCCGCTAAAGTTTAAATAAAGTGATGTGTGTGGAGCTGATCTAATACCAAGGACCAGCAGCACAAACATGTTCCCATGTGGTTTGACTGGAGCCGCGTATTTGGATACTTTGGGCTGCGTGACACAGAGGAGCGCGACAGACCGGTATGTGTGTGTGTATATGTATGTATGTGTGTGTAAATGTAAGCTCCAATGTAGTTCTAACCCGCGCTAGTGTGCAACTTTGGCGGACAGAGGGGAGAGATGATGCGTGTGGATGTTACGTATCAATGGAGGGGGGAAAGTGTGTGTGTGTGCACACGGCATGAGAGTCGGCCCGGAGTTTACTGATACATTGGCGCACACAGCTAGAGACAGACCCGCTCGCCACACCGTGCAAATAGGGCTTAAAATAACGTTATTAAGAGACCTCCTCCTCCCCCTTTTCTTTTTTTTTTAACCGACAGCTTTGACCGGTTAACGCTGTGACGGTCAACCACCGGTTAAATGGTCACCGATTTACATCCCTAATTTAAACTTAAATAAAAAACAAAATAAGAAAAGTGGGGCATGCAATATTATTCGGCCCCTTTACTTTCAGTGCAGCAAACTCACTCCAGAAGTTCAGTGAGGATCTTTGAATGATCCAATGTTGTTCTAAATGACTGATGATGATAAATAGAATGCACCTGTGTGTAATCAAGTCTCTGTATAAATGCACCTGCTCTTTGATAGTCTCAGGGTTCTGTTTAAAGCGCAGAGAGAACCATGAAGACAAAGGCATTGTCTGTTTCATGGTACGATAACGGGATCTCTGAGCCTGGCCTCCTCCATCTACACCTGCGGACTGCTTCAGTCCTGCACTGGACCTGTCTACGTTCAGCAGCCACTGGTCCACGTTCTGTAGCTAGCTTAGGTCCTAGATCATTAGCCTGTCCGTCTGGAGGAGCAGATCTCTTTCTCAAATGGGTCTCCCTCCCTGTGGGTTTCCCCTAGTTCTCCAAGGTTTCTCACTTTTTCCCACTGGGTTTTTTAAGAGTTTTTCCTTGTCGATGCAGGAGGGTCTTGTTGGACAGTTAGTGTCCAACAGAAAGGATTGGTGATGATCAGGACACTTTAGCATTCTACAACATGTATGGACATTTTCTTCTATGTGTGCTTTATATTTTTCATGTGTTTTAACTGTTGCTCTCTGATCTGTGCTGGTGATTTCAATGGTTTTGTTAAGTCCTCTGAGATGACTTCTGTTGTGACCTAGGGCTATACAAGAATAAATTGTATTGTGTAAAGGAACACACCAGGCAGGTCGGATATACTGTTGTGGAGAAGTTTAAAGCCGGATTTGGATACAAAAAGATTTCCCAAGCTTTAAACATCTCAAGGAGCACTGTGCAAGCAATTATATTGAAATGGAAGGAGTATCAGACCACTGCAAATCTACCAAGCCCCGGCCGTCCCTCCAAACTTTCATCTCAAACATGAACTTTTTGGCCACAATGCAAAACGATATGTTTGGCGTAAAAGCAACACAGCTCATCACCCTGAACACACCATCCCCACTGTCCAACATGGTGGTGGC